TTCGATAACTACATTATAATCATACTCATTTTCAAAAAGTTGCGTAAAGTCTTGAGAAAGTTGATCAAGAATTTTTATGTTCATTTTGCTATTCCGGCAGGTACTATACTGATATGCATTTATATGTAGTAAGTGGATGTACGGACGTAGTTAGTGTATGACAAGAATCAAATGGGAACCTATTGGCCGAGTAATACAAATCCTAAAATGAAATTTAAAATACGTGAAGAGAACGTTAGAGTTAGGACGTAAACGTTAGTGATACTAGAAATAACTTCTGTTCGCTCTACAGTATATAAAATTTTTATTTACTGAAATTGTGCAATCAAAAATGTGCACCAGTTAATGATTTGAACCGAGAAAAATTTTCTTAATCGGTTAACCGAACCGAAATATTTTATGCCAACTGATTCAACCGGTTACCCGAAATTTATTCGGTTCGGGTATAGTTGTTAGGCGATACCTAGAGGTTTCGCCAATGGCGAATGGCGTAACCTGGTTTCGATTTTTGCCTAAAAAAAATTAAAAAGACGAAATGGCGAAACTGGCGAAAGGTGACGAAACTTGTAATAAGTGGCAAAACTAGCAAAAGGTGACAAAGCTGGCGAAAACTGGAAAAAGGCATGTAACTAATGTAACTGTTTATTGTTCTTTGAATCTTACTTTTATATTTGTCCTATCAGTAAGATGTTATCTATCTTAATCTTTGTATTCTTAGTTGTATTAAGCATTATTACCACTTTGATGTTTAATACATACAGTTACCTAAAATATCATGTATATTATATATATTATTTAATAGTATAAGTTTTGAAAAAGCATATATAGGTTAGATTTAGTATTATAGATGTTTTATCTGTTGTTTAAAGTAATTTTAGTTATTCTCTTAATTAGTAAACCCTGCTTGTTGATAAGTGAGAAAAGGTTTTACAGTTGTTTTGATAATACAAGAACCTTTAAGTTAGACTCTACAGTTGCTTTGGTAGTGCAAAGACCTTATAATTGGTTTTACAGTTGCAATAATCATGCAAAAACCTATGAATATATTAAGTATATTCATGTTATTCTTTTTAATATAATATTACAATTAATTATCTGATTCTTTTTTTCACTATAGAAGTAATAGTTTACATGTATTTTAAAGTTAGTGCAACTACCATTTTTTTTAGTCTTGTTTATATTAGAGTAGAGCCTCAAGATAATGAACTTATTCTTATATGTTTTTTTATTAGATTAGTAATAAAAATAAAATTTCTAATTAAGAAATAATAATTGTTTATTTATACTGTAACTATTTTTGTAATTATAATTCAAATATCAGAAAGTTTGAAAAGTAGTTAAAAAGTGTTTATTAATATTAATTGTTATTTAACACTACAAACTGTAGAACAACAAATCCTATACAGACTAACAGCATTTAAGAACAATTTTAAAATGCATTAAACAACACATTTTATTAACTAATATTATTTAAAAATATGTAACATTATGTTAAGCAGGTTTACTAATTTACCCCTATTATTGGATTGGATGATGATCATCCCATTGCTGATTGGGCAAAAAATCATTACTGTATTACAGTAGCTAACTATAATCATCATTTTATATATCATATTATGAATATGTTATGATCTAAAATTCTCTTAAATAAATTTTTTTTTAAGCAATCACTTTTAGGTTTTTTTCTTTCTATTAAGTGGCATAGTAATAAAGATATATTGTATATTTTTACTATGCTTTTTCAAAAGTAAAAAAAAAATTAAATAAGTTTTATACTGTACTTTGAATGTGTTATTATTTATAATCATATACTTTCTTCATATAATCATGTGCCTTTGTCACTCTCTTTTAAACAGTTTATTATTCTTTGTCACTTGCTTTTAAACAGTTTATTATTATATTAACACCTTCTGATATTAATACAATTTTTGATATTTATGAGAAAGTTAAAGAAATTGATATAGATATAAGTGAAAATGATATAGACAATATGCTTGATTCTGTTTTAAACATGACTGACAGTGTTGGTCATATATAGAAAGTAATAGAAGATAATAATACAGTATTAGAAGAAACATTAGAATCAAAGAAAATAAAAATATATTTACTTTTATTAGATGAATATGTAATATAGATTAAAAATCTTAAAAAAGCAGGCTTAAGTTATGTTTGGCATAATTGTTGAAGTAATTTGGGTAGTGCTAGAAAAAAAAACCAATGAACTGAGTGATAGTACTGTTATTATTATGGGTTATATGAAAGTATTACTGAAAAGCATTCAAATAAAAAACTATGAATTATACAGAAAGAAACTAAAAAATGTAGTTGTAAAAGCTCTATATGCATAAAACTTTCTGTCAATTTATCCACAGTGATATTAAAGTATTATTATAAACATGCCAATCATTTTTTAGATCATTTATCAGATTTATATATGCTTTCTTTTTCTAAAAATATCAGAGAATTTATTCAAAATTGTGCTCTTGAGAGACTTGATGCTTTTAGTATACAGAAGCTTTTATAATTTAGAGCAGTTGAACTTAAATATCAAATAAAGAAAGGTGTTGAAGGCCAATTACAGGATGTTCAAATGTTATAAGATGCTCTTATAACATGTGATGATATATATTCAATTGTTTATAATGTAATGACTAATCTCATTTATCTTGATAAAAATAAAATTTGTTTTTTAGATAAATGGCAAGAAAAATTAAAAAAATTAATTAATGAAGATGAAAGCTGTTTATTTGAACACTGTAATAAGAAAAATAATTTTAGGTTTTTATTTGCATTCTAGACAGAAGAACAAAGAGAATTAATGAAGCTTGCTAGAGTTTTGTATCTAGATGGTACCTATAGTATGAATTATTATAGTTATCATTTTTTTACTATTGTTGTGCATTATCCAATAACAAAAAGTGGTTATCTTATTGCATTTTTGATAAGTGAATTTTAATGATCATTGATATTAAGAAGATGGTTAGAATTTTTAAAATATGAAAATGAAAGTTTGAATTCAGATATATTTATAATGAATAATGCTAGAGAGAAGATAAAGTTAGTTGAAAAATGTTTTTCAGATAGTTCTATATTTTTATGTTATTTTCATATATTGCATTCTTGGCACAGAAGATTGGATTATAAAAATAATGCAAATATTAATCCAAATAAGACAATCATTTGGAAAGATTTATTGTGACTTATAAAAACTGAAGGATAGAATGATATAGAAGTATAATAACAAGTTGCAAAGGTAATTAATAGGTGGAGAGAATTAAATGATAATGTTATAAAGGATTTTGTAAATTACTTTGAATGCTTTTGGCAATTCAAATATGAAATGTGGATAATATGCACTTGAGGAGTAGTTTATGATATGATTGATACTAATAATTTATAGATCTTTTTATCATAAACTGAAGTATATATTTATAAGAGGATGTTCAGGATGTTGGCTTGATAGTAAAGTTTATTTGCTAGTAAATATTGTACTCCAAGATATAAACTTTTCAGTTCTTCTGAATGAGTTAAAAATTGGTCAGATAAATCCTAGACAGCAACAACAGCATATTAGAGAAATTGCTAAAACAAAAAATATAAATAAAAATATATTTATAAAATTCAGCCAGATGTTTGGTTGGTTTGCTTAATAACAAATAATAATAATAAATACTCTGTTCATAAGAGAAATTCTGATAAAAATGATATAAATATTGCATCATATGTTTGTACTTGCTTAGACTTTAAAAAATGTTAATTAGCTTGCAAACATATATTTGAAGTATTAGCTCAATTTCACATTTATAATAATAATAAAGAGAATGAATATATAAGCAATTAATTCAAATTTTGGTTTAGTATATTTTATATAAATAAATTTTTAATAATTATTTTATAATTTATATAAATTTCTTAATTAAGTGAATATTAAAACATATAATAAAGATATTGAAATTATAAAATTACAGAAAGATTTTTCTGCAATTATTGTTGAATAAAAAGAGAGAAATATATAAAACATTTATAGTTTACAAACTGTCCAAAAGAAAAAGCTAGAATTGCCAGAATTAAGACTGTATCACAAATTAATAAACCAAAAATTATTCAAGTTGCATCAAATATAAAGTTTAGAAAACAAACTAATTTTTAATTTTTTAATATTATATATACATATCAAAAATTTTCGAATTTATCTATTTTATAATTATTAATTTAGTATTGTTATATAATTGTATGATATATTTTTATTTGTAATTTTTTCAAGTATAGTATTGCTTTTAAATGTTTTAGAGTTGATATAAGTATAAGTAAAAAAGTTTTTAAAAGATTTTATTAATGAAATATTATTTAAAATAGAAAATATTCTTAAGTATTTATAAAAGCAATAATATTATACTTTTATATAAGCATTTGAATAAGAATCTAAAAATTAACTTATATAGTAATAAATAACTAATATAAGAATTTAATTAATAACTCAATATGCAAAATAAAACTTGGTAATTATTAAATAATAAAAGAAATATGTTGATACTTTAGTTGGTTGATAAGGATAAATTAAACTCATTAATATAAAATACTGTATTAGTACATTTTTAATAATTATAGTAGTGATAAATAAAAGGAAATATAATAATACTATAGAACTAATTTATATGTTTTGTGATCATAAGCAGGTACATATAAAAAAAATTTTTAAGATTTAATATATTATTCTAATATTTATGAATTTTCCAAAACTGTATATTAATATAATTTTTAAATTGGAGGTTTTTTTTTATATTGAATAATTGATAATTAATTTGATAATTAATTTTGTCCAATCAGCAATGAGATAATTATCATTCAATCTAACAATGGGGAGTAAATTAGTAAACCCATATTAAGCAACTTTTTTAACTAATGCTATTTAAAAATATATATTATTATATTAAGCAATATATTATTTATTATAAAATATATTTTTTAATATATTAAGTAATATATAGCAATGTTTATAACTAATATTCATAATTGCTATCACCACTATAATCATTTCCATTATTGTCACTACTAGATAATTCTTTATAGTTTTCTTGAATCACTACTTTTGATATTGCAGAAGAACTTGTAAAACTTTTTTGCAAAACAGTATTCTAAAAAAAAAAATTACATTGTTATAGAATGATTTATTATTATTCTTATTATTATTAGTTATTATTATTATTATTATATTATTATTATTATTATTTAGTATTAGTTA